ATCAAAAGCGGCCGACAGGTCTAACAACAACAGTGCCACCACACCGCCTCGGTCCAGATGCCTACGGAGGTCGTCAGTCAGTGCGACCAGTACAGTCTCCACCCCGTGACCCGGGCGAAACCCGGACTGGTGGGGATCGAGGACAGAAGCGGCATCCAGAAATGGCTGCAGTTAAGAGAGACTTGTTAATAATCTCCCGCAGGGCACCTCGAAACCCCTCGCGACCCATCTTAATGAGCCAAGAGGGGCACGGGTCAAGGTCACATGTGGTTGGGCGCACTACCGCAAGCAATCTGTCAACTTCTTCCAGGCTGAGTGGGCAGAAACTCACTAAACCCGGCTCCAAAGACGTGCAAGGGGCCTCAAGTTCACTTACTGTATCAATTGTAGCGGGGAGGTCACGTCGGAGCGCCAAGACTTTCTCTGCAAAATAGCTCGCAAATGCCTCACAGCCGATATCCAATTCCCTCAAGTTTTGCCTGCCCAGGGCCTGGTGGTCCGACCATGGTACCGCAGTTGCAGTAATCCAGTCCACCATTACCCCAGCAGCGAAGATCAGGTCGAGCGTGTGACCGGGCCGATGCGTGGGGGCCATGATGACCTGAGAGAGTCCCATTGCCGCCATGGACGACATCAGGTCCGCAGCCCGGCTGGAGGTCGCGTCCTCAGCATGGACGTTGAAATCACCCATGACCAACAGCCGAGGGTGCTCCAACGCCCAGCCTGATACGGCCACCAGCAGGGACGGCAGGCTATTGGCCGGTGCGCTAGGTGGTCGGGACACCACCCAAATCGCCAGACTCTCCTCAGCCTCCAGCATCGCCCCGACACACTCTATGCCCGCGATCTCCACAGCCGGGAGTGCCCTGAAGGAGTAAACCTCTCGAATGAACATAGCCACTCCTCCCCCCCGCCCCTTCGTCCGCGATGGTGGAGGACCGAGAAGCCAGGTGGAGCAAGCTGGGCCAGGGCTACGGTTTCCCCCTCCCTGACCCAGGTCTCGGTCACGCATACCAGGTCAGTTTGTTGGTCCATCACAAAGTCCCGAAGGACAGCAGCTTTGTTATTAATCGACCTGGCACTGCAAAACACCAATGACAGAGAGGGGTACTCCATCACAGCCCCACTGCCAGTTACCCTTGGGATGGGTCTCAGGCTATGGGTCTCAGTGGCATACTTATCCCGTCATAGGATGACTTGGAGCCGAGTTAAAAAGGCACCACATCACAAGTGGTGTTCCTACACAGTCATTGCACATGGCCGGATGTCTGAATGCGGGGGAATGCACACAGAACGGATTTGGCAGTCTGAACCTGCAGATTCGTTCTGCCGCTAGGGAGTTTAAAAAAAAATTGCTTATATGCATTCAGTGGCTGAGATACTGCAATAATGTGGATGCTTGACCATGGGATGTCTGTGTGGGTAACCCACAGCAGGGTGTGCTGGGTGGCCTGTATGCCCCACAACACTTTAAACCGGTTAAATTAGAGGTGGCACCATATCACGCCAAGCCACCAGTGTGACCACAGTCAATGTCTCCTTAAAGATAGCCACCACTCCACTACCTGCAATTAACAGGTAAGTCTTTCTTGGCATGGAACCTAATGCTGAGGCAAAGGTCACCTGCTGAATTTTTGCAGGTGTTAAAGGCTTGTGCCTTAGTTTGCCTTTGTGTTCCTCATGTCACTTCATTTGTCATGATGAGTTCGTCATACAACAATTGCCCAAAATCACACACGCAGTAAGGTGGGATGCTAAATGGATGGTAGCCAGTCAGTTCAGACACCAGAGACACAGTTAAAACTGCCACTCTGTTTTTCACACATGGACACCAATACCAGGAGAGTGGCTGAGAAGCACTTTTACTGGCACATGGGAATTCAGCCTAAATTCTCCCACACACACTTTCCCCATCATCTCTCATGATTACATATTCTCTGGCAACCTTTCCCTCTCTCCCTATCTGTTAATACAGCTTTTGAAGAACTAGCCTGACTTTTGAAGAACCATTTCCCTATTTGTACCACTAGGTGGCCCTTTGTGCTCTCCGATACATGCTGAGGGGTTTAGCAGGTGAATGTTTCTTATTGGTTTACTAGAGGCATGATGCCACCGTGCAGCCCTTTTAAAGAGAAAAGCTAGAAACAGAGCATAGAGCTTGGTACAGTAGCCCTGTTCAGAGGAAGTGGAAATCTGTGAACAGTCATTTCAATACAAACATGAGTGAGGTGAGTGGACAAAATGCTTTTATCTGGTGAGACGGTAGCAGGTAGCTGAAGAAAGAGAAGCAGAAAAGAACATGGAAAAAACCTGCAGCTCAGTTTGAATCAGACAGAAAATAAAAGAGGAACTGATTGTGAAGTGATTTAAGTTTCAAAAACAGGGACAACCCTAGAACAGCAGTGTTACTATAAAGATGGAACTTGATGGAGGTTTTCTGTGAAGATATAATGCATCTCATGCAAGCATTCAACCTAAAATTTACCAGGTTTTGAAATGAAGCAGATAACCTCTCACTGTGTGTTTTAATTCAAATACATGTGAGACCCTATTGTGAAGACTGGGAAGAGTTTGTGGGCATTCAAAGTCTGTGCTCTGTAGGTACAGAAATCCCAAATAATTTAGCTTCTAACAACTGTTAGGAAATATTATTCTTAATGATGGTTCTGTCAATGTGTATGTTATATTGAGGGTATGAAGAGAGCATCTCAGTATCTGTTTTGCATGCTTAAAAGCAAGTGGGGGAGTCAGCTGAACAAAAGTTAAACATAAGAAGTGTAAAAAAATATACCGTTTTTCTCCGTTATTTACTGAGTAGCTGTTGGTGCTGGAAAGATGACATCTGTATTTGTACGCATAAGGAAAAACTCCAGTAGCATGAAGCATAAAAGGACCTTTGTGTATTTAAAGAATATGAAAATGAAGCCAGAACATATTCAGGGAAATGTTCTTTTCCAGTGGCAAGCCAGTAATGTATTTCTTGGTCTAAAGTGTGTTCATTCAAATGCCATGCCAACTTCCCTCTTAGAGCTATATTTTTCCACTGTTTATTTTTGAAGGCTTCTTTCCTTTGAAATGGAAAACTATTTCTGGCAGACAATTTATGATTTCCCAGCATTGCAGGGTAAAACTGACATAAAGTTTGATTCTCTCTATAGCTATGGATGTATGCTGCATTTTACCAATAGTAAACATATTGCAAATAAAAAGGTAGGATAAAATCAAAGGTGCAGAGTCAATGCCTAAAAACTGCTGTGAATATCCTTCACTGTGGATAATCTCCCACCCGCTTGAACAGGTGTGTGTTTCAGAGATCTTTGAAAAGGCTAGATTTTAGGGAACAGCACTGCCCTCCAAGCAGGGAGGATTACTCATCCAGTGATTTTTACCTTGCTTATTGAATACATAGTTAAGGTATTTATTCTTCTGGAGCTTATTCACTTTCCAACTTGATGCTCACAGCTGAACAAACTGGTAAAGGTCAATGTTTTAATATACAAATTGGACTGTTTCCCAGTGTCCTAGTTAAATAGTATGGCTTATTTTATGTGGCCCCTATTCTTGTTCTTTTGTACTGCAGAACTTTTCAAAGGTTTCCTGGTTGTTGAAAACAATGGAAGGCTAATTGCCATTGTGTGTTTTCTTCCCTTTGCCAGATCAGTTTTGTGTCCTATTCTCTTTTCACTAGCTGTTCATACAAGCACCATCCACACTGCAGCAGTTTACATTTGGTTCCTCTCAGAGGAAATCTCCCTTCTCTTGAATTCAATATGGTAAAACTTCCCGTGTGCCAAAAATAGGAATAACTACAAAAAAATAAGAAAGCCACATCACTAAACCTATACTTCCTTCTTTGTATCTTTGGTTTTCAAGCAAGTTTTCCTCCCAGGCAAAGACACATCTGTACTATCCAACTCTGTCATATAGTGTGGAGTTAATTAATATATAATTCTTATATTATCTTATGGCTATCTTGAGAGATCATGTCACCAAGAATACAGCAGTCAAAGTTTTAATGAGTGCCTTTAACATAATAATAAAACCAAGTCTTGAGGTGATTGTTTTTTACTGAAGAAGAAAATGGGGGAGGGGGGAATCATAGAAAGAGTTTGGAGAAAGTCACTTATTTCTGCACTTGCAGTGTTTCCTGATAATTCAGTGAACTTTCTTCTAATCCCCCTCCCCCTGTTCTCTTACCTAAACAAAATCTGACATAGTGTAATGGAAAAGAGAGGCTCATATATGGCTATGAAAACAACTGTCCCAAAATAGACTTGGATATGCAATGAGGAAAGGTTGGCCCAGATGCTGTGATAGTTTTTATACTAAGAATGGTTAGACTCACAACTGAGTTAAATATTTTGATTTTGAAAGCTCTGGACCATCAAGAAATGTTGCTCTTCAAATCACATTTACTTGTGATTTCCTCATTCCACAGCTTCATGACATAGATAACATTTCTTATCCATTTATGTCCAGTTTATTTTAAAGTTACGTCCAGTTAAAGGATGAAGCTTTTTAAAAGTTTGTGTCAAAACTTAGTTATTTTAAAACTTCCATTGAATGTGTCTCTGGGGAAAAAATACGCAGGCCACAGTCTGACAGAGTTAAGCGTATGTGAGCCCCCTTGCCTTAAGTGTGCTTAATTCTGTAAAAGGTGTAAATAATCCTGAGGTAATTTTTTTTCTGATACGCAGTTTGGACAACTATATTGTAATCACCTGGGGCTTGCAATCACTCCTGTACAAGAAATAGTAAATAGAAAGGGCTGACCAAAACACAATATGGGTGAAGTGCCAAATTTAAGATCCTTGCATGTATAAAGTTGCAAAACAAAGGAACAGTAGCTGGGTCACAATGCTGAAGCAATTTGAACTGCTGCACCTGCTTACATTCTTACAACTATTGAGGATACAAAAACTTTCCTTGGCTGCCTAACTATTAAAAGGTCAGGGAGGCAAGTGCTCTCCCCCACTTGCAGTATGGGCTCAGCTAAACTACAAATTTAAACTTGTTACTTCCTACTAAGGCACTTTGCAAGATATAATTTTGTAAGGAAAGATTTGGGGCTGTCTCATGGGGGTGAGGAGGACTGCTATCTCTGTATTGGAGGAGTGCTGCCTCCTTCCTCTTTCCAGCTACTCCTATCACCTTGGATACTCCCACCAAAAGCTCTAGCCCTATTCCACTGGGAGAAATAATTCCAATCAGACGCAACAGATTAATAAAATCTGCATGATCAGAGACAAGATATCTCTGTAGATCAGATGCTGCTGAGGATGGTGCAAGGCCACACACCATTCTTGTACACTGCCAGAGGTTTTTGGCTGGTCACTGTTGGAAGCAGGATGCTGGGTTACACTGATACTAAGTGCACAAGACAGGACTGGGGTCCGAGCTTTGGAACTGAACCACCACTTTGACCCCATGGTAGGTATGCCATTCTCTTCTGCCCCATCCGCACTTCCAATGTATGCAGAGGAGGAAGACTTGCAAACAAATCCTGAACATGCCACTTCTTAACACAAAGCATGCTTAACTTACATTTGGAACCTGCTGCGCTGTGGATGATTATTTCTTTAGTGGCCTTTCCATGTCAGCTGAAACCTCTTTAATTCTGGGAGTGCTTTTTAGTTAAATGTTGTCCCTAGTGTGCGTACGTTTTAATGGCTGCTATTTATCTTACACAGTTTGAATGGATTTTAATATTGTAAGTTGCCTTGAATACTTATTTTTCAATAGGCAAATGTTCTAGAAAATAAAACACATGGAGTTCTCTATTGGAAGGGATGGTGATAGATGCGGAAAAAGGTCTTTCAGCATCTGTCAACAACAATTTGCTGAATGGTAGCTCGATGTTCAGAGATATTATACCTCTGATTACCAGATGTCAGATAAACAGCTGGGGAAGGTCATAACTACAAACAGACCTTGGAAATTTTATTGAGTCATCAGTTTGGTTTTTGTTAGATCCTCCAATTAATTTTTCTTCCAGATCCACCCCAAAGTGTTTTTCTCTTTAATTAATTTGTCCTCCCCAATTCCTGTCTATCACTTTCTCTCCCTGCATCCACTTTCCCATTTGTTTTTAAAAAACCCAAAAGGGTGTTGTATTTTTGCACTCCGCAGCACAAAATTGAAGGACAAATTATTTAAAAATTGTGGTGGTAATTTGTTATATAAATATTCAAACCTGTGATGAAACACAGAGAGTTGGGAAAGTCTGAAGTTACCTCTCCCTCTTCTTTTACATGGTTGAAGAGCAGAACATATTTTCAGTGTCTACCCACAACATTTTTATCCAGTACTTCCTCAGAGGTGTACATGTTCTTCCTTCTCCTTTGCATGTTCACAACAAACATGTGAGGTAGATTCACATAAGAAAATGTGATTTGCTCAAGGTAACCCAACACTTTTTACCTCATTTTGGGAACTTGATCTGGATTTCCCAAACCTCAGCCCAAAATGCTAATGACTCTACTACAAGAAAAAACAACCCTGGGAAACTAAAGTATGGTGCTGAACAGTAATCTCTTCTGGTACTCAATTGATTACTCTCATTTCCTAATGATTTTAACATCTGGTTCTAAAAATACACATGCCAATTTGAATATAAGTAACTACATAAGAAAGACTATATTTTAATCTTGCTCAAGATTTTTACTGTTTTAACTCCGCTTTATGAAAATTGATGGAAGCTTTGCTATAGACATTAGTAGGAACATCACTTCATCTCCTAGTCAATGAAGAACTTTGTGATCTGACATGCTGTCAGAGAATCTAGCAAACACAAGGCCATGGGACCCAAGTAGATATTGACTATATGGATAGCCATGAAGCCTTTGTTCCAATTGTTAATAAATGTTTGAAAATGTAGTAATTAAAAATCTGAGAACTGAAACTCCATTTAATATATTTTCCCTTAAATCACTTTTTAAAATACATTACTAATTACAGCTTTGTCCTCATTTGCCAGTGCATCTTGCATCCAGTACTAGTAACCCATTTACTATATATATATATATGTGTGTGTGTGTGTGTATAAAGTGGATTTACATACAATCCATTGTCACTGTACACATGATTTTTCTTTGTATATACATTCAGTAATTCTTAAACTACATCCAATGCATATAAAGCTAAACACACAATATAAACCTTACATTTATACATGCAGTGGTCCCTGGTTTAATTTTTAAAGTGAACACATACTGGCTCTTTCTTACAA